TAAATTCTTTGATTGGAATATGAATGTTGCTGGAAGTATGAACATTTTCACAGGACAATGATATAAATGGAACTTTAAAACTTTTTTAAGTGTTACAGTGATATTTCGTTGTATGTTCCATAATGTCAAGAATATTGATTTCCTTGCAACATCCACAATTATTACAAATGTCAATATAACGAAATATCTTTTATGCGATGTTTGTGGTGTAATAAAAATCTGTGTTTCGATTACGTTTTTGATACGTATTACTCACTTATGTGTAATAATACAGAATAAAAATATACTATTAGTTCGATATTTGAAAATATGCATGCGTTCGTTGTCACTGTTAAACTGTTGTAATAACAATGGAATAATAAAATAATTTACTCAAATGTACATAATAATACATATACATATCCATAAAAACAATATTAAACGCAATAACTTTTTTGTACGCGAAGAAAAACTAATATAGGTCCGTCGGGATACGAATCCAAGACTCCTTTCTAACACGTCTACTTTATAGCGAACGGACGGAAGAGAATCCGTTCACGACCATGGTCCCTTCTTAGATTTAACGTAATTCACAAATTCACCGTTCTCATAACGTAGAAGGCAGCAGAAATTCCCGACTTTTTACACTATCGGTATTTCAGAACATGAGACACGAAATCCCATAAGACGATAAGTCTATCCTATACCTAGTCGGTGCTATTACATGTGTCATTCGATTCAAACTTCGCGCCTCTGGAGCTTCTGACATACATCGCTACGTTACATGAGCGAGGATTGCAACAATACAGAACAGGTAGCGCCGCAATAGATGCGACTCTATAGGAACATTTCAAATAGACACTACTGGAAGTACTGGAACACGCTGGGCAACGCTGGGCAGGTCTGGGCACTACTTGGTACTCAGTACTCAGCACCACTTACCACTACCCTACTGTTTGTTACTGTGGACGACTGTGGGTGGTTTGTGGGTCATGGGTCCATTATTGTTCCCGGGAAGATTCGTATAACCTCTTCCTATTTGCATAATATTCACAAAAAATATGTGTGTCTGCTTGATTTCGTGATTAATGTTGATACATTGACAGTTTCTCGAAACAAAATTAACATTTCTTCGTGGTTTACCAGAAGATATTTTCCAGTAAACAAGTTGACAGTTCGAAGCTTGACAGTTCCGTTTTAACGACGTTCCAAGTTAAGGCTATTTTTTGTATTTTGGAACGAATATCGCAATGAGCACGATTTTAGTAGTATCGTTGTGATTTAAAGAAGTACAATTAAGAATATATTAACGTATATTCAATTAAAAACGTATTTGGTTGATCAATACGTGATATCTTTGCGAGCATCGTTAACAAGTGTGATTGTAGTAGAATTGTGTACTAGAAGTGCTGAGTTGACTTCACCAAATGTCAAAGAATAAATTAAATTTGACATTACCTCCTGGCTCGATAGAACCAGTGCCAGCTGTTTCTCCATCTCCACCAGTACCAGCGTTGCCTATTTATTCTGAGCCACCGGTTATACCAGAGTAATTAAATTGATTATTTTTTATGATCCGTTCTGTAAACTGCTAATTCTATATTTTTATAATTATTATTTACTTGCGTTTGTCATGACTATAGCGGAGTTATGGGTAAAATGAGTATAGATGCAATTCAGGAAAGGCTAGAGGAACTAGAAATGGACGAGGAACAAAGGAAAAGACTGGAAAGCTTTTTAGGACAAAAAGAGAAGGTTGGAGAATTATGTGCTGATGACTTTGAAAAACTTGGTGAACTTGGTGCTGGTAATGGTGGTGTTGTTATGAAAGTGAGACATAAAAAGTATGGACTTATAATGGCTAGAAAGGTCAGGCTTTTCATTATTATATTTATTTAATATAACTTAATGATTAATACAATAGTGATAATCGTAATATTTCAGCTAATACATTTAGAAGTTAAACCTGCTATAAAGAAGCAAATAATTAGGGAACTAAAAGTGCTTCATGAATGTAATTTTGCCCACATAGTTGGCTTTTATGGCGCTTTTTATAGGTAAAGTGTCTAATGAAGTATTCAATAACACTAAATAAATTAATCTCTAGTTATATATTACATATGAAATATCTTATTCCTTACAGTGATGGAGAAATTAGTATATGTATGGAATACATGGATGGTGGATCATTAGACTTAATATTAAAGAAAGCTGGGAGAATTCCTGAACCTATATTAAGTACAATTACTTCTGCAGTAAGTATTAAGTAAATCTATTACTTTAATATCTGTTTAAATAGTTTAAATGTAATTTACTCTTTTAAAATTATCTAGAACAACTACTTTACTAATGAATAAGAAGTATACTATTATAAACTATATTGATTGAGTGTTAGTCATGGTAGATATTCTATTTACTTAGGAAAAGTACTCAATAATAAGTTTCTTGGTCTATAATTCCACCAGGAAACTTACGAATGCACAGCCTTCTTAATTCGTCATATATCCAAAGACACAAACCAAGAGGCAAACATGGCCAATACCAATAAATACTTAAAGGCATAGTCTTTAATATTTTCTCTGTTCCTGGCACATAGAGTATAACACCAGTTATAATAATTTCAAAAATGAAAGAAAAATTTAGAAACCAATTATCCATGCCTTGTTGCAAAATCGAGTTAACTCTCGTTTTACACATTACTAAATCTATGAGTTGTGTGATAACAATAGATAGAAAGTATCCAGTACGGGCTTCATTCAGTAAATCCATTCTAGTGTCATATGTCCACGTTTGACCATAAGAATCTTTTAAGTCATTAATAGATTTGTTCTCCCAGTCCAATCTTAATCCTAACAGACGGTCGGGCAAAAAACCGTTGAACATAAGGATCATAAAATAGGTATAAAAGCCAGCTAGAGACTGTGTCATGCCGATCTGTCCATAAGCCACAGATATTAGACGTTTGTTCACAAGTTTATCGTATTGTGGATTCCTTGGCGCACGGTGCATGATGTCAGACTCTGCTTTCTCATATGCCAGCGCAATCGCTGGAAGCAAATCTGTTCCAACGTCTACGCATAGGATCATTTCAAGAATGAATGGTAGAGGAATAGCAAATATGAGACTACTTAGCATGGGTAACATCTCAGGAACGCTGGACGTTAATGTATACGCAATTGATTTTTTAAGGTTGTCAAATATCAGTCTACCCTCTTCGATGCCAGTCACTATGGTAGCAAAGTTATCGTCCATGAGTATCATATCAGCCGCATGTTTCGCGACATCTGAACCAGTGATACCCATGGCCACACCAATATCCGCTTTTCTTAGAGCAGGTGAATCGTTGACACCGTCGCCAGTTACAGCAACTATCTCCCCTAATCTCTGACAACTCTCTACTATGAGCAATTTCTGTTGAGGGGATGTCCTTGCAAAGACGATTTCTTCATAGTTCTTTATGACGTGATCCAATTCTATGGAGTTCATGCTTCTTAGTTCGGCACCGGTAATAATTGTCGCCTGGGTATCATTATTCATTATCTGAGAGTGAGATTGGTTTTGCAGTATAGCCCTTTCATACTTGGTTTCATTCTCCCCGCTAATTATGCCGACTTTCTTTGCTATCGCCATTGCTGTTACAGGATGATCACCAGTTACCATTATTATTTTAATTCCAGCTGTGCGGCATTTCCTTACAGCTTCAGGTACAGCCGGTCTTGGAGGATCTATTAAGCTTATTAGTCCAATGAATCTGTAACCTTTTGTTGGAAAATTATATGTATTTGGAGCATCTGTGTTAAATTTAAAATTTGGCCCATAGACATCGTCAGGTAATTGAAGATCGCAATAAGCTAGTACACGTTCACCTAAATAACCTAACTCTGCACAAGCTCTTCGGGATATTGTGTGATCCAATGGTGTCATTTCCTTAGTCTTTCCTTCTGTAGTCAGTATCTTTGTACAGTTGTCTAACAACACTTCTGGCGCGCCTTTCAAAATCATTACGTGTGCATTTTTATCTCTATGTATTGACATTTGATACTTGGTTATCGAACTGAATGGTATTTCGGCAACCTTCGGATGTGCATCACGGAATGTCTTTGTTTCGTGTATGTGCTCGCAAAATCTGAGGATTCCAGTCTCTGAAGCATCACCAATTATCTCACATTCATCAATTGGTTTTAATAGCGTTGATTCTGTAATAAACTCAGCGCGTAAACAGAGGGTAGCATTCTTAATTATGATCTTAAAAGCAAGCTTTTCTAACAGCAGGTTTTTCTCAACACCTAGAATTTGCCCTGGTGGAAAATTATATCTCGTGTGACCAAACCACAGGTTGGATACACTCATCTTATTCTGTGTGAGAGTTCCTGTCTTATCGGAGCAGATTGTTGATGTAGATCCAAGAGTTTCTACACCCTCTAAGTTTTTTATCAAGCAATTCTTTGTTGCCATCTTCTGGGCTGTTAGTGTTAAGCTTGTAGTAACAGTGACCAATAGGACTTCGGGTACATTTGCTATTACAATGCCAAGTAAATAAGTAAATGCCTTCAATATATTGGGATCTATGACTAGAGATACCACGAAAAATAGCATTCCAAATATTATAGCAACACTGGTAATTATTTGGACAAAGTGTCTAATTTCTTTAGCTATTGGAGTCTCGGTTTCTGTAAGTTGCGACGTCAGACCAGCCAGTCTTCCTATCATTGTCTTATCGCCTGTAGCAATTACTATACCTTTACCTTCGCCATCCACGGCGAAGGATGAGAAAAAGGCAATGTTAGAAGATTCTAAAGGATTGTCATCTGTAGGATAATTTGTTCTGACTACCGCTTCACTTTCACCAGTGATGCTGGAGTTCTCAACCCTCAGTCCCCTACACTCTGTGATTCTGATGTCTGCTGGTATTTTATCACCGAATTTAAAATGTACCAAATCGCCTCGAACTAGATCTTCGGTTGCTAGACGCATTTTAACGCCGTCGCGTATTACCGTTGCGAAAGTAGGTACCATTTTGTTAAAAGATTCCATCACCTATGGATATTATCATGGAAAAATTATATATTTATTATTAGTAATTATTTATAATTCAACTTGTAAAATTAGATAGCAGCTGATAGATCACCTGTGTATTTTTACTTTCTTGTATATAGGCGAACACACCAGAGATTATGCAGATAAAGGTAATGATAAAAGCTAAAAATTCAATACCGCCGCTTGTGCCTTCAATTAGGGTACTCATAGAGTACAAAAGAAAGCACAATACTGAACAAGCCCATAACAAGGCAGCAAATCCATGAAACATGCATTTTAAAAACTTAATATATTCTGGGGTTACTTTGGGTGGGGACAGCGCGTTTGGTCCTTCTCTAAGAAGAACATTACCAGCTTCTTCTTTGGTCAAACCGTTATCCACATTAGTGTGTAATTTTTCACATAATCTTTTTAATGGAATCATATGATCTTTAGTACTCAGCTCTTTATGGAGGTCTTCTATTTCCTCGTCAGTGAGCTTTTTCTTACCTAAGGGATTGAAATTTGTGACTGATTGCTTAGATGTTGATTGCATTGTGTTTGAACACAATTAAAACATAAGCTTTGAATATATTATAACGTGTTTATGGTTAAACATTGACTTCTTCTCTGATTCACAATCAGTTGTCTTACACATTGCAGTCATGGCCAACCTGTCGAATCTCATAATTTTTCAACTCTTAACAATCGTTGTAGTCGGTTCTCCATCTAATTCATATTGACATCGAATTTTATAACAATTACTGTTATAGATTACAATGATTTTATGTTTACCTTAGACATTGATAATTTTATAATCGCATATAATAAAAAATCTATTTTGCCCAAGCAAAAAGAAATGTAAACCACAAAAGTAATTCCCAGTGCAGTGGATTAAAATATTCTAAAATAAATTTATTCAATGGTACTCAATACTTTTATAGGTCTTGAAAGGACTAAGCTATTTGCGAGACAAACATGCAATTATGCATAGAGATGTGAAACCTAGCAACATCTTGGTGAACAGCGCCGGGGAGATTAAAATTTGTGATTTTGGTGTGTCTGGTCAATTAATAGATTCTATGGCTAATTCATTCGTTGGAACAAGAAGTTACATGTCGGTAAGAAATTAGCGATCCAGCGAGGGTCATTGTTATTTAATATTTCAGTCGATAAAGTAACGTGTTACATTTATTCTTTCCAGCCGGAGAGACTTCAAGGCACGCATTACTCTGTACAGAGTGATATTTGGTCTCTAGGACTATCGCTCGTTGAGATGGCTATTGGAATGTACCCAATTCCGCCGCCAGATGAAAAAACTTTAGCTGCAATATTTAACACTCCACCGGGACAACCACCTGCAGACAGTGTTACCACAAATAATACTTCTACTCCGACACAGTCACCTGGACATAGTTAGTTTTGCATTATCATAACAATTCCATTTTAATATTGTCTGTGTTTTGTAGAAGTTCAATTGTTAAATGTAAAATGAATCTTCTAGATAGTGGTAGTCCACGACCAATGGCCATATTTGAACTGTTGGACTACATTGTTAATGAACCACCGCCAAAACTGCCTGCTGGAATCTTCAGTGATGCTTTCACAGACTTTGTTGATCGTTGCCTGAAGAAAAACCCTGCCGAGAGAGCCGACTTAAAGACATTGATGGTATGTATTTTACTTGTATAATAAGTATTAATTGAAATTAAATATACTGTCATTTTCTTATTTTAATTTGTTTTTAGAACCACGAATGGATAAAAAAAGCTGAATCCGAGAACGTAGATATTGCCGGATGGGTATGTCGCACAATGGATTTACAACCGACCACTCCAACTCGTTTAGCGAACGTACAATCCTGAATAAATGTTACTCTTACATACTTGACTACTTATATACGCGTTCAGTACTCTTAAGTAAATTTCAGTTTCTTTTCGTTTAATTAATATATGCAGTGGCGTTTGTGAATTTTTTTATAATGATATTCCCTAAAACGAAAGTGCTTCGCGATTTTGAAAATGGACTAATATTTTCTATAATCTGCCATTCTTTATCCAACGTATATTTTATAACATAATTGCTCAATCATCGATTAGTGTTTGAGTAATAGCATTTATTGAGTAGAGTTTTAAGTATATTAAGGTATATACATATATCGTACCGCAGATATATTTTCGGTTAAGTTACCGGATTTAATTATATAAAGACGTTAGTTATTAGCTACATCCCAATATTGTATTGTTTTAATTGTAGAATTCAAATTATAAGACATCCAATTACTTTTATCTATGCACTGCAGTCTGATTTCAAAGTCGCGGCATAAGAATCATGTAGAGATGACTATACATGATCGAGATGTAATTACTTTCAATGTACATACTATACTATAAGGTATAGAAAAATGTTTTAAACATATTTTTATAAAATACGTCACTGTACTTGAATTTTGTTTCATCGTATACGTATTTTGTATTATTATATTATGCCTCTGTTAAAAGTATGTAAGATGAACGATTATCGTTATAAGTTTAACATTATTACACACTCATGGGCAAATTGTGTTCCCTGTGATGATACTAGGATACATAAGTGGGCATCGAATTTATGAGAACGTTGATTCGAACAAAAGAAGTGTTAACTAAAGATCAAGTTATTAGTATAACGTTTGTACCTGACATTCGTAGAGCATTATTTACACCATTGAAAAAAAGACTTTCGTTCTATTATTGCTAGAATGCCATGCTATTTTTTACAAGGTGTTAATCCGTGATTGAACGGGATTTAAAATTGTAGTTGAATAAAACAGTATTTCGAATAGTGGATTGAGATATTTGAACATATATGTATGTATTTCGTATATTTGCAATAATGTACTGTATACAATATTATTGTATCAAACTTTAACATAAAAAATGGTGTTTGTTCATAATAATATTCTTGACAGTATACTGTTGTGTTCTACGCAATTTAAGAATGGCCCTGATATATTCCTTTATTTAGCGTCAGTCAATGTGAAAGGTCCACGTTATGGTCGAAGATATTTTAACCCCTCCGACCCGAAGTCTGTATCCCATATGAAGCTATACATTTTCGTACTATATATCAATTTATGGTACATATTCTGAATAAACAGAGTATCCTTATAATATGTAGGTATTTTGCATGTTAAATTCTCAGGTTTGATGTATTTGTCTTCAGAATTATTAAATAATAATTAAGAATTTTAAGATATCTGGCATAAATCAATAAATTCTTTTAAATTTACATGTGCTTCGCGGAGAAAACTTGTATTTGCAAAAATACTTGTATTCTAAATATAACAGTGCAAACATCATTTCTAAATTAATGTACAGTTTCAGTGCAAGTTATGGTGATATTCGACGCTTGAATCAAAGGGGTTAAAACAGTTAAAAAAAAAAGATACTTCTTCGAAGTATTTAATCTCTTTTTTTTAATATATACCTATGTATAGATAGATAGAGTAATATCTTTGCAAATATACGTTGATTTATCATGTATCATGGTCCAAGACATTACACTTCATGAGTGCAATTGATAACATAATTTTGATGCGTGTCCATGTGTTCACATGATAGTACATATATTATATGTACTGTATAGCTGTGCATCAAGTCCTTCATGTGCAATCTTTGTGAATCATATATCAGGAACTAGCCACTTGTTTGGCTACCTATGTATTTACATGTACTTCAGCAATTAAGTGTAATTAGAAGATGTTAATCATTTTTCTTATAACACCCAAGTAAGGAAAATGGCTGAGTAAGATTTTGACTTCTTCAATTTTTATTAATAACATGTTTAATTTTTATTTATAACATTACAGAACATAGAAATTGTTGATTTTGTGGCTACAGCCCAACAAATATATGTTCTTTCACTCTCAACCGGATATTTGGTCTGTACCGATAGCGAGATATTTAATATTGTACAATCCAGTAGGTATATAGTTGCTTATCATTGTAATGTACCCACAAAGAATGTCTATATGTACATAGTATATCGATAATGTAAAACATCGATATTATGTTGCATGCAAAAATTACAGATTTTGTTACCCTTGTATGTTAAAAATGTCGAAATGGAATTGTTCATTGATAACCACAGTGATGATTCCGTTATTATATGTACGACGTTACAGTAAACCTAATTCTCAATTCTGTTTACTAATATTTCCTCAAAATTTGTTCTTTTTTAGAACATAGATGTAGTTGTTTAGCCTTTTCCGATTTGGCTTAAAAAAGTATCGGAGAGTACTACGAGCATATTGTGATGTTTGCAAGCACAGTGAGGGAATGCTCACTGATGTGCCTCAGCGTAAGACGCCCAAGAACTGATTTTTCATATTATGTTTATACGTCTGATGAATGATGTGCGTAACGCTATTTACTACTAAAGATCCGACTTTTATCATATATATGTATATGTATGTAAACATAGATCATTTTCAATAGAAAATTTCTGTTAAAAAACAAATGTAAAATAACGTATAGTTCAGAAAAGGTCTATTCACAAAGCAGTGAATCCCAACTGTCAAAGGAACAATTACTCCTGGCACTTATTACTAATATACGAATATATTCCTTGTTGGAAATTTGTGCATAATAATTGCCGTTGTATTGATTCACTGTCTAAATGTTGTAATTATTCAAATAAATTTATCCTACATTGGAGCATGGTTCTGGTCTTCTGAAATCTGAGTAGTGAAGAATAAGGCACCTTTAAGCATGAGTGAAAATGTTTTACGTTTTATTTTGAAAGAAATTGTGTAGTTCTATAAAAATCTTAGAGAATATACGTTTTATTGAAACACAAACAGTACGCAGAAAGTATCAGGTCATCCCATAAGTTCGTACCGCGGTATGTGTTACATACTTCACGAAATGTTTTCTAAAGATTAGGGGTGTGCGGATACTCGAAACTACGGGCTCGAGACGGGACCAGAGACGGCGAAATTCGGGCGGAATCCCGAAACTCCTGAAACTTTTGGGCTTGGGCATGGGCGGGCAGCCTGACTTCGGAACGGCTTGACAAGAATCGGACGTCATCGGCTCGAGAACCCGAGATCCAGCTATATGGAAAGGCTTGTCAGTCTTGTCACCTTTATTCCCGTCGTTTCTTAAATCATAATTTGTATCTCATTATTTATTATTCATTTACATATACCTATATTTTCATTACTATCAAATCGTTTGTAAATATTGAATACGTTCATATATAAAGACGTACTTTTATGACAAAACACTGTCTCGAAAAAATGACAATGGAGTTGTGGAAATGTAATTCCACTAGATACCTCATTTTCCAAACAGCGGCAAGACAAATACTTGTGCGATTCCAACTACCCAAACAAAGAGCGAACGATTACTTTCTAGTTCTCGAAGCATTGTAAACAGTAAAGTTTCGGGAGTCCCGAGTAATGCGGGAATTTTCGGGATCCCGCCCGAATCTTTCCGTCCCGTCCCGAAGCTCGGGTACCCGCGATCCGCGACTCGAGACGATCCGCACATCCCTACTAAACATAGAATGCTAAAAAGTCGATGTATTATAACTTTTCGAAATTGGTTTAAGAAAAGCTACACAATAAACTTGGAAAAGGAAACACGATGTCATATCGTTCCGTACTCGTAGGAAATGGTTTGAATGTTTTCGAAAAGGAAACTTTTGATCTAAACGATCAGAAAGACATTTTGAACGCTTTTCTCAGAGCGACGAGAAAAAATTTCCATTTCAATAGTAAAAAAACTAAATTTATCGATTCAGATGTCTAAACTTTGCATTATCAAAATTTAGAATTCGTAGACATTTGAAGAAAATTTAGATGGTGTCGAACCTCGAAGTATTGGTGTTACATCAGTTTACGGTATTGAATCTTCCTGACCGTATGACAATGTCCATATCTTTACTCTCACGCAATAAAAAATAAGTTATGTGTAATTCGACTGGAAAGTTTGATAATTGCCACTTATTTTCTGCACTTTCGTGCACACATAAAAACGATTACGTTTTTTCATAGAACTCAGGTATGTTTGAAATACTGGTTTCAATTTCGGTACAAAATTCAACAAGCTACATTAACTATGTGCAAAAATGGAGAGACTTCCTCGAATTTCTTTAGGTTCACTGCAGTGTTCCCGACAAAGATTTTCAAGACTGTACTGTTAGTTCTACTGACAGTAACCTTAGCAGCTTTCTTCAATGTGAAATTCGTGATGCCATGGCAGTATGATAAATCTAATAATTCCAATTGAGGTGCAGATGCTAGAAGTTTGATCATTGTTGTATCACCAAAAAAACATCCACGACATTCTAACTTCTTCAAACTACACATGCCCTGCATATCAGTCTCTGTTACGTCAAACATATCATTCATTATTAATGTTTCTAATTTCTGTAATGTTGCTACGGCTGCTATACCAACGCTTGTAACGGAATCACACTCTGCAACATTGTAAGAAGTTACAAATACATAACACATTGAAAGGATGTTTAGCTTACCCGAAATATCTAAATAAATAAGTTGCTGGCACTTTGATGCTAAATTACTGAGGAATTCATCTGTGATCATTGCATTTCTACTGACTTTTAGAACTTCAAGATTCGTCAATTGTGCAATGTGTAATATCTCATTTGATCGTATTGGCATATAAAGTTCAGAGAGTTCTAACATTTTTAGGTTTGTACAATGCATACCAATAGTTTGCATTACAATGGTGGAAACATCCAGGCAGTTTTTAATTGTAAGACTTTTCAAATTCTGTAATTTTTCAATTGCCTGGAAGAATATGAACAATGTGTATTGAAACGAATCTTTCGAAATAAAGCCATAAGTCTAAAAAAGTATCTAGTTTACCTGAGATAAACACTGTATTTGGAGATAACTACACCTCTCCAAAACAATTTCTTCCATTGTTTCCAGTGGTAAATGCAATAGACATTTTCCACATATTTTACCAGTGACTACTTTGAAATACCGTAATTTCGGATTCAGTTTAAATAATTTTTGTAAGTCTCTATCACAGATATAAGTGGTCGGACCAAGACTGAGCTTTGTAATATTACGGCAGTTTTTCATCAGTGAGTTTATACCAGCTAGAGAAACAGTGAGAGCAGTGACATCGATTCTTTGTAAATTGGGACACAATTTCCCAACAATAGTCAATGTACTGGGACTCAATCGAGACTCTACTTGCGATAAATTTATCTCGTTTAAAAATCTACCACATCGTAATAGAATTTTACGAAGAATAGGTGTATTGATTGCCAAGGAAGAAAGTACAGAACTGTCCATACATAACAAATCCAATTTTTTTACACTTTTCCAAGATTCTTGACTCAAAGCTCTCCATCGTTTGCAAACTATAAATATTAAAAAATTTAAAAGTATAAATCTGTTGTTCATTCATATACTTACATACTATTATATTCTTACCTCTTTCTATTCTAACTCTATCTATGATTGGTAACTGAAGAAAAATATGTATCAAACAATCATCATTTAATATCTGAATGCTAGTGTCTGTAATGTTACTTTGAATAAAAATTTCATTGCATGGTTCATTTAATTGTTTCTCATAAGACTTTTGCCAATCTTTACTGTAATATTGATTCTCTATATTATCTGGTTGATGCCAAGAATCTGCTGCCTCCACTCTTAGGCATCTGTTGTGTAGTTGTATACCTTCGTTTCTAGCTCTACGAATTTCACTATCAACACCAGACGAAATACTCTATCAGCATCACAAATTCCAGATGAGTAATTTTATCTTCATTTTTGTGCAATGTTTACCTTACAGCTGATGCAACAGTATCAAAAGTAACAAAAGCATAGTTACTCTTTCCTTGATTCCTTATTAAGAAGCAACTTTCTACATTTCCATATTTAGAAAACAATATATTAAGATCTTTGTATGTAGTCTGCAGAAATAAATTTTTCAAATATATTATCTGTAAGACATTGAGCATGGTATTGAAAATATCAATACAAACCCTTTCTGCTAAGTTACTGACAAATAATTTTCTAATTGGTACATCATCCTCAGTTGTTTCAGAAATGTTTCCATAGTTCAAGAAATCTACAACATGCAAGAATTATGTTTTCCTAAAATATTAATAGTATTCAATAGGTCAATAAAATGATCTATAATTATGATTACCCTTCAAGCTTATGGGCTCTATACGTTTCAAGGCATATCTGTGCATACAATTAGCCATTCTTGCTGTTAATATCACCTTATTACGAGTTGTTTATTTCTCGTTCTATTTTTTTATATACCATCTAAAAATTGATATCATTCGTTAAAAATAAACGCCTATTCAATAAGGAAATATTAATGTATCGCTAGCTATATTCAAATTGACGTCATAATATAACCCTGTCAAGCTTTTACGGGGCAAAAATCGAATATAAATACGAAATCCCTTGAATAATTTGTAATAATTCAAATTAAAATAAATGTCGAAAAACTGTAATATGAGAAGTTACAACTTTAAAGATTTTCTCACTCGGCTCACGAATCATAGCATAGTTAATTACCAACAAAGCGAACATATACATACATCATTTAATTTAAATATAGTTTTATATACCTTTCTATGTATTTACCAGTAGTATGAATACGTAAATAAGTTAAGATTACTAATACAATTGTAAAGGAATAAACGTCATATGTACTGTGTATCTTTACTCCTATTCACTCCTATTGAGCACACAACATTGGACGAGGTTGGACGAGGTCAAGAGGTGAAGGGGCAAAGGGGTGGATGTCCCTTGCAAGGTAATGGCAGAGAAGTGGTGATGGTCAAGGGTATCGAAGGATGTTACCCCGAATACAGCGCGCGCTGCACTCAAATACATATTATTTTATCAAATTTAAGGGTTTTTTATTGAAACAAAGTACTTTTGAAATAAACTTTGAAAAAAGATACTTAAGAAAATACTTAAAAAATTGTACAAAATGTTTCAAAACTTTATTAACATTACTGATGTCAATATAAATGGTTGCTGTATATGTACAAAGTGTTTTATATTACTATTAATTGTATCCTTACAAAATATGAAATAAATATTTAACTTAATAGAGAACACGGATGCAAAGGAAATATTCGTTTATAACGCAAATTTTTATTTATGATCCTCAAAAAGGGCGATGTATCTTTAAATGTTTCGAGATGTACTGCAGTTCCTCCAACGCACAAATTTAAAATGATATTGTTCGTTCTGCCGTTTGTAGCTGCGACTGCCCTTTCTAATGTAGTGTTTGTAATATTGTGGCATCCAGATAAATCTAATAATTCCATTCGCGATGAGTGTTGAAATAGATTAGATACTGTTATGTCGAAAAAATTGCATTCCTGACACACCAATTGCTTTAAATTACACAAGTATGACAAACCATTGCTTGTTACTTGATACAAATCATGTGTTATTAATACTTCTAGATTTGTAAATTTTTCTATAGCTTGTAAAGTATAATCTCTAATAAAATGCCCTGGAATATCTGAAAGTAACACATTTTAGCATTATGTGCACACTAAAAAGAAATACAAATTTGATTTAATTAGACTCACCACTAAGATCTAAATAAATAAGTTGCTGACAATGCAAGTTTAGTTTCCGAAGAATTGAATTGCCAATAAACCAATTTGCACTTACTTTCAAATTTATAAGATCAGTCAATGAAGTTATATGTGATATACCATTGAACTGTAACAAACTTGATTTTCCAATAATTTCTAGTGTTCTTAAATTTGTGCAGTATTTACCAGTAGCTTCTGTGGTCTTTTTCCAAACATCAAAGCACTCTTTAATTATAAGACACTTCAAGTTCTTTAAATTTGCAATTGCCTACATGTTAAACAAGGAGATTACATCACAAACAGAAACATAATAAATTAAATGATATAATGCATACCTCTACAATATCATCATCACAAACACAATCACATCTTTCTATAATAATTTCCTCCATTGTTTTCGGAGGCAAATGTAATAAACATTTGCCGGAAATATTATTGTCAATCAATCTCAGATATTGCAGCTTTCTATTTGCTTTAAATAATTTTTCCAAGTCTTTGTCAAAAAGACATATAGTATCTAAGCTGAGTTTTGTTATATTATGACAGTTATTTGCTAATGATGTTATTCCTGTTGAAGTTACCTGTAGGTACCCGAGATTAATGATTTGTAGATTAGGACACAAGTTTCCAATAATGCACAATGCACTTTCCCTGGTTTCACAAAATATATTTGTTAAATGTATCTCTCTTAAAAACTTGCCACATCGTGAGAGTACTTTCTGAAGAGTACTTATATTGATTTGTTTTGTTTTAGTTTCAGATAGAAATCCCCAACTAGAATTATGCAAGTCTAAGCTTTTCATGTTGTGCCAAGAACCTTGACTCACGTTCTTCCAATGTTTGCACACTAAAATGTTTTAATTATTATTTTAATTGAATATATTACAAATTCAAAGGGAACTATATTTAAGAATGTCAATATTTGATGTAAATAACAAAATTATATTTATGTACCTCTTTCTATTCGAATCCTATCAACAATTGGCAAGTAATGGAATATGAGCAGTAGGCAATCATTATTTAATTTGTTAATACTACTGTTAGTAGTATTAGCTTCTGTGTAATTTTGATTACATTGTTCAGTTAGTCGTTCTTTTTTGTACACTACATCCATTTCATAACAAATGTCAGTTGACATAGTCAAATTTTGTGTTGAATTTATACATTTAGATCTTACAGTTTTTAGTAGAAATACCTATTTTATAACTCCATTAAATTATAATTTCTATATATTTTTACTTGTTTAATTTAGAAAGTAATACTGATGAATCTATAAAGAAGGTTTTTATTTCTTTTTGGTTAAGGTTGACCATCTTGGATGGGATTTAGCATTAAGGGGGGAGACTCCTTTGGGGCCAACTTCGAATCGATCGAAGCGCTGATGTAAACAATCGGACGCTAGCGGAAAGACATATGTAATCGATTTTTGGGCACCGACTAGGTATAGGATAGACCTATCATCTTATGGGACTTCGTGTCTCATGTTCTGAAATACCGATAGTGTAAAAAGTCAGGGATTTTCTGCTGCCCTCTACGTTATGAGAACGGTGAATTTGTGAACTACGTTAAATCTAAGAAGGGACCAT